CAACTCAGACTGCGATTTTTCAATTTGTCTGGGATATTTTGAAATGTACTGAGATTGGTCATATGGCTTTGGGTCTCTTTTTGGACCTATCAAAGGCATATGACTGTTTAGTGCATGACATATTATTTGATAAATTGGAGAAATATGGTATACGTGGACCAGCATTGAACTGGTTTAAGTCCTACTTGGCAAATAGGAGACATTTAGTAAAAATACATAAAAACACTGAAATCGGCATCTCATCTGAAAGCACTATCAATATTGGAGTACCACAAGGAAGTGTGATTGGTCCTTTACTGTTTGTGATCTATATCAATGATCTTCATGGTCTAGTGGCTAATACTACTTCCAGCATAACAAATTATGCAGATGATACTAACATTTTAGTCAGTGGTAAAGACATGTCTGTTCTAAGCGTTAATGCTAGTTTAGAGTTCCAGAAAGCTAAAGACTGGTTTTCTATGAATAGGTTGGTTTTAAATCAAAATAAAACAGATCTTCTTTTGTTTAAGACAAATTATGCACATTCAGATATGCCAAACAGTATTATTGTAAATAATGACACTTTAAATATTAGCAGCAGTACCAAATTTTTAGGATTATATATTGATAGTTTTTTATGTTGGGATAAACATGTTGACCAGTTATGTATGTCTTTGAGTAAAGTGATTTACAGCTTTAGAGTTCTAAAAAAATACATGAATAGTAACTCATTAAAAACAGTGTATCATGCTAATTTTGAAGCAAAATTTAGATATGGTCTAATAAATTTTGGACACAGTAGGGACATAAATAATGTATTTCTGGTTCAGAAAAAAATAATCAGAGTTATGTTTGACTTAAAAAGTAGGGAATCATGTAGAGGGCATTTTAGGAGTAATAATATTTTAACAGTTTATGCTGTATTTATTCAAGAATGCTTACTGTTTCTATATAAAAATAAAATACTATTTAGGAACTTTGAGCCCAATAGTATAGTAAATACCAGGTTATATAATTATAAAATTCCAATACACAGGTTAAGTATAACAGAAAAAAACGCTCTTTATTGCTGCATCAAATTGTTTAATAAACTGCCTGAACCTATTAAAAGGGAGGAAAGATTAAGTGTGTATAAACATCAAATATTTAAATTACTGGTAGCTCTTGAGCCATATTCTGTGGAGGACTATTTGCATATGTAACGGTTAGGAATAAGTAAATAATATTTTCGTTTGTGACACTGTTTTTTTTTAAATAATTTTATGTTCACTGAATGTATATTGTTTTCTAAAAATAAAGATATTGTTATTTTATGTTATGTTATGTTATGTTATTATTTTGTTCAATTTCTATAGTGAACTTTAATTTTGGATGGTAACTGTTGAAAATATCTAAGATTTCGGTTGTTTTATTTGTTGGAATAGCACTGACACAGTCATCGATATAGCGGTAGAAGAATGGTACATTAAAATCTAAATGACTCATGACAGATTCTTTTAAGTCTTCCAGAACTAGTTGGGCAATGACACTAGATATACTTATATACTGTGAGTAATAAAGAAATAATAAAGAGTAATAAAGAAATAAAGATAAAGAAATTTAATACTTCTACTACTAATCATTGGGTTCATCCATATCTCCCGTCCTAGTTAACTTTGTCCTTGATGACTTGGTATCTGACTGTTTGGATCTTATAGATTTCCAGATCCCTTTTGTTAAACAGTATGTTGATGACCTTTGTTAGCCTTACCCCCTGATAAAGTAGAGTCTACCTTATCAATCTTTAATGGTTTTGATCCTCATTTACAGTTCACTTATGAACTTTATCCCTCTAACACTAGTAAGTATTCCTTTTTTAGACATGCGTGTCTTTAGAAATAGTGACAATACACTAACTACAAGTTGGTACAGGAAACCTATGGCTAGTAATAGGTTTCTTAACTATCATTTGTGCCATCCTTTCAAATACAAAATAAATCTTATAAAAGCACTCAGCTGTAGACTACATAGGTTAACACATCCTGATAACAAAAGGGATTCTCTTTTATTACTCAGAAGTATACTATCTGACAATTCGTACCCTACTTTTCTCATCTATAAATACCTTTTTTCAACAAGTTTTGGGTCTTCTATTGATGATTTACCTGATGGTGATCAACTTAGGATGATTTCTAATAATATTATGAACAACAGTACTCTACTTTCTCCTAACATTGCAACTTCTACCACTCATTATTCTTCACTACCCTATTTCCCATATGTTACTGAAAAGCTTATTAAATTGTACAAACAGAACAATATCCCAGTTAAGACTGCTGTCAATAATGCTAAGACTGTAAGGAACTTGTTTTCTAAAACTAAAACACCTCTTTCTTTTTTGGAACAAGTGAATGTAGTCTATCACATACCCTGTTCTGAATGTGATGCATGTTGTATTGGTCAGATGGGCCGTTCCCTTAAAGGACACCTTACTTTACATTGTAGTGACATTAAACTGTCTAAACATACCTGTGCCCTTGCACAACATGCAATCAACACCAAACATGCAGTGAATTTTGATGATGTTAGAATTCTCTGTAGAGAATGTAACCTTAATAAGAGAAGTTTATGGAGATGTGTCATATTTTGAAACAACCTAATGCATTAAATAAGAGAACTGATATTGTTCTGAAGCTATTTTCTTGTGGCATTTTAAATTAATTACTATTTAACTGGGAATAAGCCACAATTAAAGATAAAAATATGTTTATTGACATTTCAATTTCCACTTCGGAAATCGTTCTCAAAATACAAACAGTAAACTAAACAAATTTTGTTTTTTGTTACATAGTGAAAAATTCTTCTAATAATTTATTTTTATCTGACTCATTTATATTGACAATTCAGACATAAATTATACATTTTAAAGTAGACAACTTTAAAATGATATTGCCAATATTGTTGAGTTGTGCTCCTTGGACATGGGACGACTTTTCTTATAAGATAGTTCATTCGATTACATGAAATCAACTTTAACTTGAGAATATCCGTCAGAAAAAAAATCATAGCATGTAATTCGTCTTTAAAAAGACAAACACATGACATGATGACAGTAAAATTCTCCTGTTAGTGATTCCATAGTAAATTATTAGGGAAAAACCAGGAAAAAACCTCATAATACTATTCCTACATGGTAAGTTTTTGGTCATGCATTTAGTTTACCTTCAATAAACACCAAAATTCTGATTTTATATGTTTCGTTATTTAAAAAACATAAATGATATATCCTCTATATGTGACTGACTTACTAATACTGATATTTTCTTATTAAGAACTTCCTCTTTCAATATTGGTAACCAGATCGTACTACATTCTGCCGAGGAATTTGTGACACTGTTGGCCTCATTCAGCATAATTAGAGCCGCTTCTTTGATTTTTCTTTTTTTACCATCCGTTTCTTTTAGGACTACATTTGAATTATTCCATTGAACCCTATGTTCATTATCCCATGCGTGTTTACATATTTGAGATCTATCAAATTCTCTATTTTTAATATAAGATTGATGTTCACTTATTCTAATATTTAATGGTCTTGATGTTTCACCTAAATAAAACTGATCGCATTCACAAGGTATTTTATAAATACAATTCTTTGTCCTTTCTTGTTCATTGTTAGGTTTGGTTTGGACAAAATAGATCTCAACGTGTTTGTTGTTTTGAATGTTGTTGAAATGTTGAATTTATTTCCTACCCTTTTAAGTTTTTCTGATAATCCTTTTATGTACAGTATTGTTATTTTCCTCGTATTATTCCTTGTGTATGCTGTAGGATCTTGTTCTAAGTTGTTCTGTTCTATTCAATCGATTGTTGAAAATTCCTTATTTATAAACGATAAAGGAGAATCATTTTTTAATGTTTCTCCTCCAAGAACGAATTTTCGTTAGAACAAGTAATTTTGGCTCTATCGTATAAGGATTTAATTATTCCCTTTTTTACATTAATATTGTGATTTGATTTAAAATTTAAATATCTATTGGTGTGTGTTGGTTTTCTATACACCTGAGTCTCATATCCAGTATCGATCTTAGAGATTAAAACATCCAGGAAAGGTAGTGTGTTATTATATTCCTTTTCCATGGTAAATGTTATTGTCTCTTCTTTATCGTTTATATCATTTAGGAATGTGTCCAACAACTCTGATCCATGAGGCCATATTGAGAATACATCATCTACATACCTCCACCATACTGTGGGTTTTAAATTTTGTTTAGAAATGATATTTGTTTCAAAATCTTCCATAAATATATTGGCTAAGCATGGAGATAAACTAGAGCCCATTGCTAGTCCAAAATTTTGTTTATAGAATTCATTAGTTAGTTGAAAACAAAGAATTATACAAAATTAACAAAAGATCCAACAAAGCCTTTGGAAAACAAAATATATAGAACTTTATTCAAGTTTAAAGCAACTTTACACTGATTAACATAGGAACAATAATTGTAGACAATACACGAGACAGAGACAGAAATTTCTAGAAATAAGGAGATGACCAACTTGGTAGATGAAAATTCCGGCTAGATATAACTATTCGCAATTGTGACTCACCAGATACGACTTCTGCCTCAGTTAACAAGGAGCTCTGATAATCGCGAGTCTACTATACTAACTAGAATTTACATTGAGAAACATATCCATTTCTTGTTAGAGTTTTCGAATATCATGATTTATATATTAGCTGGGTCTGTGCCGGTCTGTTTAATAGCCAAGCTAATAATATAATAATAATAATGAACCATCAAATATGAAAACACATGTAAAATGGAATTCTTATTACATTCAATGATGGTTTAATCCATCCAAAATAATACTTAATGTGCCACAAGAAAGCAGTTCCGGAACATCTTAACTTCATTGTCACTACATAGTGTTAAATTAATATTAGTGTTAATAAACACTGGACATTTAAACTGGAACTCTGTGCCTCTGGAGAGAGGGAACATATTATTTATACTTGAACCTAATGTAAAAATATGACTTACTTGTGATGGAACATCTGAGTTAACAATTTGTGCAGCAGTCTTTTTTAGTAGAGCATCCTTAGGTTTATCAGCCAAAAGTTGAACTATAAAATGTTTTTCTGGGGCAGTTATTCTAGGCAACTGTCCAGGATATTCCAACTTTGGAGCTCCGACACTGCTTTGTTGTTCTGGGGGATTCAGTAAATGAATAAATACATTAGCAAAAGGAGTATTTGCAATGGGTTCTCCACGATATAGTTCATATAACAGAGTAATTGCTGCTAGACGTTGTTCTGGGTCTGTTAACAAATTATTCTGTAATAAAGTAACAATACAAGATCCCACTTTAAAGAAATGTGAAGATTCAAACTTCTTATGTACTTCATTTGAAAGAGCTTCTAGGGTAAAATTACGAACATTGTGATTTTCTAATATTCCCAATAAGACATCGCACTGTTCAACTGTTAAAGCCATTAGATAATATTCTGTAAAGCATATTTGGCGATTATATTAAATTAACAACCAATTAATAAGATTTTTTGTTTTTATGTTGACATGACATCTCGATATTACTGACATGTGTGACATGTGACTTCTGAGTTCTGACAGTTATGAAAAAGAAGATAAGAAGTAAGGTCAAAGCTTAAGAAGAGAAGTAAGGAAAAAGAATAATTATTATACCGTGTTCACTGATCGCAGTCCCAACAGTCCAGTAAATTTGACTATTTTATTCATAGATAAAAACTATTCATCATCTCTCCTTCTAATTTTGTTTTCAAGTCGTCATGCGACTGTTCCTCCCTACTCTTTTTTTTTTCAAGTTCCTTTGCGTTGTCCATATTGTCTTGCCGATGGTCGTCATTCTTCATCCCCGTCTGTTTTGAATTTTTTATTTTACTCATAAATGGTCTCACGAGTCGGGACGTGCTATACGTCTGACGCGGCAGTGCGCCCTTACAGCGCTTCGATACTTCGAGAGGTCGCCAGGTATCCCAAAGGGATCGTTTTTGATGCTCTAACCCTCGCATCTCTCATATCTTTGGCACGATGCCTTCCACCGTGATAGTGAGGATTTTTTATCGAAGTTTACTCCTCTAGGCTTTTTTCAAGGTTGCCTCCGGACGCAGTGGCAGTCTGTTTGAGCAGTCTGCATGGAATTTCCACATAACTGCTGCCTCCACTGTTACGTGGGAATTGGAACAGGACGTGTGATGGAAAAGGTGACAGGTGGGGTAAACGTGTCTGCTACTCATATGGAATATGTTGGGAGAACGTGTTTTTTTTTCTTTTTTTTTTGGGTGGATGAGATTGAAAATTGAGATTGAGTAGCCATGGGAGAATTGGTAGGTACTTATGTTGCTGAAGGCGAAAAAGCGTCGCATCTGCTCGTCTCAGTTGCGACGCCTTTTAGCGTCCAGCGGCGATGTCGGGCGTTCACCCGGTGCACAGACGCTGGACGCTACTACTGTGTTTGGTTTCACTGGTCGTGCTCCCCTTACAAATTAAGGGACCAAGACCAATTACTCGGCCGTCTCACCAGCGTCGAGGGGAAAATTACAGTCCCAGAGAGGGAACTGATATGGAGACCTAGTATCTCGTTCATAGTAATTTATCTGTGGTTCATACAGGATGTGATCACTAAATATACAACAAAACATCATGAAAGACTAGAATTACACAGACCCTAGAGTAGGGAATTTTACTAGTTAAACCCTTGCCGAGTTAGATCATTATTTGTGTTTTAATTGCTAAAGAGTGTAACTAAATAAAAAAAGAGATTAAGGTGGTATGTTAAAATTTATATACTTTTTAGGTACAGTTATCGTCACTATTTCAAAACCAATCTTCAACTTATGACTATGTACGTAAACTGTAAACTTTCTATTTTAATGATATCTAGTTAAAATTTCCAAAGAAAGCAGTAATTTTTTTATAACTGTACTTAAATGAATCCACGTCATAACTTACGTGGTAACGTGCCTAAAAATTGGTATTGTGTAATAATTTCTTAACTTAGGTACAAAATAACTACTTTAAATGATTAACTATCCAAAAACCTTTATTTTAAGCCAATGTTCGTTATCCATACTGCCGTAATTTTAAAATTAACTGTACCTAAAGATAAAATTACAAGTAAAAGCTGCAAACTAGGGATTTTGTTGATGTCACCGTTATAAGTTGGCATTTTGCTAGTGAGAAATTAGTTCTGCTATCACTTAATAGATGTGAAAATAAGTTCACATTGGCACCCATAAAAATATACCAAACACCTCCCTGGACAGTTTCTTTACCAATAGTAGACCTCTCCTTACTTAATCATGATAAGCATTTACACAATTCTGCAGAGATCAGGCTTCAGTATCATACAAATTTACTAAAATATTCCACTCACAAATTGTTTTTCACTGATGCCTCCAAAACTTGCAACGGAGTAGCAGCTGCTACTGTATCAGAAAACTTAATTTCTGCCACTAGATTAACTCACGGCTGTAGTATTTATACTGCAGAGCTACAAGCAATACTTGACGCACTAAATCATTGTAAAAACCATAAATGAAAAACAAATACTAATATTATCAGATTCATTAAGCTCTTTACAGGCCATTAAACATGTTTATCCCACACACATCAATCTATTCCTAATTAAGGACGCGTTGCAACAGCTCCAATTTTCTGGGAAAATTATATCATTTATGTGGGTCCCATCCCATGTCGGAATATCTAGTAATGAGCTAGCAGACAAAACAGCGTTTGAAGCAATAAACAATGTGAACATTCCGACTACAACAGATATACCAATATCAGATACTAAGACTTTATTAAAGACTCATGTGAATAAAATATGGCAAGAAATATGGGATCAAACAAACACAAATCTTAAAAATATCAAACCAGACGTATCCTCACAAAAATCTTAATATACCACCAAAACGAAAAGACCAGGTAATTATCAGCAGACTCCGACTTGGGCATACACGACTTACACACGGCTACATAATCTCCAAAGAACCACTACCAATGTGCCAAAGATGCCAAACACCGTTCACAGTCAACCATATATTAATAGAATGTCCAGAGTACACCTCAGCCAAGGCGATATTCAAGATACCCAACAGCCTGAAAGAAGCACTGGATATAAAATTCAATGAAGTTCTGTCTTTTTTAAAACACTGTAAACTCTATAATAAATTGTGATTTAATTTTTGTTACATTTACATACATGTACATAATACCATATTGTTGTAAGTCATAACTTTTAAAATGTATCTTATTTTCTATATTTGTATCATAAACCTACCGCTTATAACCCTAGTGGTTGATGCGGATAAATAAAAATAAAAAAAAAAACATTTCTAATCAAAATTTAAAGCCCACAATATGTTGGAGATACATAGATGTGTTGGACATAATTCTGATTAATATAAATAAAAGGTAAGAGGAGTAAGGTAAGGAGTCAATGAATTTTACAATGGAAAAGGAATATAATAACTCGTTACCTTTTCTGGATGTTTTAATCTCAAAGGAAAATAGTGGATATGGGACTCATGTATACAAAAAACCAACACGTATGAACGGATATATAAAGTATAAATCAAATTACATCATAAATGTTAAAAAGGGACTCATTAAATCATTATATGATATAGCTAAAATTGTCTGTTCTAATGAAAATTCGTTTTAAAAAATATTTATTAACATCTATTTCAGTAAAAAATGATTATCCGATGTCGTTTAAAAGTAATGTGGTATATTTATATAGTTCTAATTATCTGTCTTTATTCTAATTTTATTGTCTATATTCTAATTTATTAAAACTCACGATCACTAATTACGAATTTATTAAAGTCTTTATTAATCCTAATTACAAATAATTTATTAACGTTTCGTTACATTTAAATATCGCGGTTCGCGAGCTTCTTATAACTGACTGCCAAATAAAAATCTTTCATTTATATACACAACGTGTCATCTAGAGAATTCGGCGGACTTCCTGAATAGTCTCGTATTTTGGTGAAGGCGCTCGACTCGTTTTTCAACCTCGAGACGTGGATGACTCACTAAAATTAGTGTCTAGAGATTTCTGGTAAACAACTGGTAGCTAAGCTCAGGTATATTTTGACCTACAAATTACGAGAATCAATAAAAAAGAATTAGTCATAAAATATTTACAGTTCTATATGCCATAACATTTAAAATCGTAACATTGCCCCCCTCTTAAAAGATGGTTCCTCCTGGAACCTTGTCGGGACTGGAACTGGAAACGACATGCTGCATATCGGCAACTGGACCCTCTTTTACAACTTCCAGTTGTATAGAAATGACAAGGGACGGTTTTCTCTCCGCAGCAGTAACTATGCGGATTGCAACAGACTAACACCTGGACTTCGGTGTCTTTAAAGATTTCCTCCACCATGTTTCGTATAACCCTCCAATCTAATTGGCGGCACTCCAACTTTGGCATGGCTAACTTTTGCACGTCGGACTCTAGTACGTGCTCTCTCAACTGAAGTAAGGCTTCCATACATCTCGGTAGGTAGGTGGTCACGGGCAGTGTCTTGTTGTTACCAGGTAGAAAAGGTAACGTGATGCATCTTGAAGTTTCAAGGTTTTACCAGGAGCTGGCACTTGGCATTGAAGTTCTGCAACTCGACCAAACTTCCTTCGAAAGACGGATGCCAACCCTGGTGCATCTTTGATACTGGCCGGGATGGTAAGGGCCAATGAGTAGTCATCGGGAAAGCGCAAGTAGATTCTGCCTTTCTTCAGTGGTAACACCATGTCTTGCTTTACCGGTACCTCCATAGGCATCCCATGAATTCCTCAAACGTGAGGTCAGACACATCTTGGACTTGGTTTACTTCCACTTCTTCATCTACGTCGTGGTCACCCTCGAAAGACGCCAACCGGTTATGGTGTCCTATCATCGGCTTTCCTCTCGAATCTTGCTTATTCGGTAAATAACATCATTGATCTTCTCCATAATGAGGTATGGACCTTCCCAAAACTGCTGCAATTTGGAGAACAACCTTTTCACTTTTGGGTTATAAAGCCAGACTTTATCGTTCTTCTTAAAACACCCCTTTTCGGCTTGTGTATCGTACCGTTTCTTCATTCGGTCACTAGCGATTTGGAGATGGGAACGGACCAACTCGTGTACATCGTCCATTCTTCTTCGTAATTCGATCACATAATCTTCACACTGCTACATCTTCTCCAGGTCGACACCCAAACTCTAGATCACAAGGTAGTCGCATCTCGCGTCCGAATAGGACTCTGGCTGGTGTCTGGCCTGTTGATTCATTAACAGCAGATTCTGTAGGCCATTGTGAAGAACGGAAGATATTGGTCTCAGTCTCGCTGATGATCGGATACCATCTTTGTCAAATACTTGCCAACTGTTCTATTCATTCATTCTACTCATACCATCCGATTGCGGATGATAAGCCGTAGTTCTTGTGTTTTCTTCATACCTAGTCTATCACATATTCCTTGGAATAAATCGCTTTCGAAGTTCCTGCCTTGGTCACTATGGATCTCCAAAGGCACTCCAAATCGGCTGATATATTCTTGGATCAA